AGGCATAGTGGCGCGTAACCGTAGTCCCAGACACTCCCGGAGAGCTGAGGCAGGAGGATTGCTCGAGCCCAGGAGTTTGAGGTTGCTGTGAGCTAGGCTGACGCCACGGCACTCACCCTAAGCCTGGGCAACAAAGTGAGACCCTGTCTCAAAAAAAAAAAAAAAAAAAAGATATTTGCAAAAGTGTAATACAATACCGCTCTGGCGCTCACCGGCCGCGACGCCCGCCCGCGCCGCGCTCACAGTCCCCGCGACAGCGACAGTCTGCGCTCACAGTCCCCGCGACAGTCTGCGCTCACAGTCCCCGCGACAGTCCGCGCTCACAGTCCCCGCGACAGCGACAGTCTGCGCTCACAGTCCCCGCGACAGTCCCCGCGACAGTCCGCGCTCACAGTCCCCGCGACAGTCCCCGCAACAGTCCCCGCGACAGCGACAGCCCCCGACATGCCCGCAAACCAGCCCCGCGACAGTCCCGCCGCTCACAGTCCCGCGACAGTCCCGGCGACAATCTGCGCTTCACAGTCCCGCGACATGTCCAACCGCAACAGTCCCCTGCGGACAGCGGACAGTCGCGACCAGCCGCGCAACAGTCCCCGCGACAGTCCCCGCCGACAGTCGCGCTCCAACAGTCCCCCGCGACAGTCCCCCGCAACAGTCCCCGCCGACAGCCCCGCGACATCCCTCACATCCCCGCGACACGTCCCGCCCAACAGTCCCCGCGACAGCGGACAGTCCCCGCGACAAGTCCCCCGCAACAGTCCCCGCACAGTCCGCGCTCACCATCCCCGCGACCAGTCCCCGCAACAGTCCCCGCGACAGTCCCCGCGACAGTCCCGCGCGACAGTCGCGCTCACAGTCCCGCGACAGTCCCCGAACAGTCCCGCGACAGCGACAGTCCCCGCGACAGTCGCCCCAACAGTCCCCGCGACATCCCCGACAGTCCGCGCCTCACAGTCCCCCCGACAGTCCGCAACAGTCCCCGCAACAGTCCCCGCGACAGTCCGCGCTCACAGTCCCCGCGACAGTCCCCGCAACAGTCCCCGCGACAGCGACAGTCCCCGCGACAGTCCCCGCAACAGTCCCCGCGACAGTCCGCGCTCACAGTCCCCGCGACAGTCCCCGCAACAGTCCCCGCGACAGCGACGCCGCGCGACAGTCCCCGCAACAGTCCCCGCGACAGTCCGCGCTCACAGTCCCCCGGACAGTCCCCGCGCGACAGTCCCCGCGACAGTCCGCGCTCACAGTCCCCGCGACAGTCCCCGCTACGCAGCGACCACGAGCGAGTCCGGTCTGCCGTCTGAGACGAGGGAAGCTTGACCGCGCTGGAAGCGGTTTTACCTCCACAGCAGCTTTGCTTGTCCTGTGAATCAGAACAGGAACATACACATACATGTTCCATCACGATATTTATTATTTTTGAGACAGGTCTCGCTTGTTTCCCAGCTAGAGTGAGTGCCGTGGCGTTAGCCTAGCTCACAGCAACCTCAAACTCCTGGCTCAAGTGATCCTCCTGCCTCAGCCTCCCGAGTAGCTGGGACTACAGGCATGCGCCACCATGCCCGGCTAATTTTTTCTATATATGTTAGTTGGTCAATTAATTTCTTTCTATTTATAGTAGAGATGGGGTCTCGCTCTTGCTCAGGCTGGTTTTGAACTCCTGATCTGGAGCGATCCACCGGCCTCGGCCTCCCAGGGTGTTAGGATTACAGGCGTGGGCCACCATTACATTATTTTTAAATGTTCACAATTTTATTTTTATAAATGAAAAATTAGAAAAGTCAAAAGTGTTCACATGATCCACTGTCAGCTAAAGTCACTGTGCGCGTTGGTCTGTGGCTGTTGGCTATAGTCAACGCTGGTACCAAAGTGGTTAATTTTGTTTTGGAAAATATATTTGATTTTCATATAAAATATCCCATTTCTGTTTGCATATTATGGGTTTTAATTCTTTAAAATCAATACTTTAAAATTTTCTCAGTTTTAATTTAAAATATGATAAATAAGGACAGATGTAAACCACATCAAGAAAAGCTTTTTGAAGCTGGGCACGGTGGTTCATGCCTGTAGTTACCCTACTCAGGAAGATTGTTCAAGCCCAGCCTGGGCAACAGAGCAAGACCCCCTCTCTAAAAAAAAAAGTACTCAATAATTTTGAAGGGCAAACTGTTTTCATGAGGTATTAACATCCTAGTTTTGTTTTTTTTTTTGAAGACATGGTCTTGCTCTGTCACCCAAGCTGGAGTATAGTGGCCTGGTTATAGCTTACTGTAACCTCGAATTCCTAGACTCAAGAGATCACCCATCTAATTTATTTATTTATTTATTTTGTAGAGATGGGGTCTCACTATGTTGCTCAGGCTGGTCTCAAATTCCTGGCCTGATCCTCCCACCTCAGCATCCGGAAGGGTTGGGACTATAGGTGTGAGATACACAAGTATATCTTGGTCATTTTTCTATGGCAGTACATGAAACAGAAGTATAGCTTTATATTATAAGGATAAACCATAAATTTTTAAAAACTAACCCCTACTGTTAGGCTGTATCCAACTCTTTTGCTTTATAAGTGCTGGTAAAATAACCAGCTAGTTAAAGAAATATTAGGAGAATGAACAAGATAATTGCCATATTGACTATGCTAGGAAGACAATCACTAGGATATAAGCCCCATGGAAGGAGAGGTTGTTTTCTTTATTGCTGTAATATGTCCCCAGCACCTAGTATGGGGCCTGCCATAGAGCATGTGCTCAGAAAATATTTGTCAGCTGAGCTTGGGGCTCATGCCTGTAATCCCAGCATTTGGGAGACAGGGGCAGGAGGATCGCTTGAGGCCAGGAGTTCAAGATGAGCCTGGGCAACATAGCAAGACCTCATCTCTACAGAAAATTTAAAAATTACCCAGGCATGGTGATGCACACCTGTAGTCCCAGCTACTCAGGAGGCTGAGGCAGGAGGATTACCTGAGCCCAGGAGTTGGAGGCTGCAGTGAGCTATGATCATGCTACTGTATTCCAGCCTGGGTGACAGACCTTGTCTCAAAAAAAAAAAAAAAAAATTGTCAGCCGGGCGCGGTGGCTCACGCCTGTAATCCTAGCACTCTGGGAGGCAGGCGGGTGGATTGCTCAAGGTCAGAGTTCGAAAGCAGCCTGAGCGAGACCCTGTCTCTACCAAAAATAGAAAGAAGTTAATTGACCAACTAAAAATATATATATACAAAAAATTAGATGGGCATGGTGGCGCATGCCTGTAGTCCCAGCTACTCGGGAGGCTGAGGCAGGAGGATTGCTTGAGCCCAGGAGATTGAGGGTTGCTGTGAGCTAGGCTGATGCCACGGCACTCACTCTAGCCTGGGCAACAAAGTGAGACTCTGTCTCAAAAAAAAAAAAAATTGTCAATAATCTAAAACAAGGTGACATAATAGTGATTTGGAGGAGCATGCAGGAAGCACCTGCATTTAAGCAGGGAACTGAGGAAGACAGAGAGCCAGTCTTGAGAAGCCATAGACTGAGGTTTGCAGGCAGAAGGAAGAGGGTGTGCAGAGACCCTGAAAGGGAAGCTCGTTGGCATGTCTGAAAAGCAGAAAGGTGTGTGTGCTGGAGGAGAGTGAGCAAGGGGAGTGTGTCAAGGATAAGTGTGAAGGGGAGGTCAGGGTCAGGTCAACAGGGCCTTGTCAGCCCTAATAATAGTGAGTTTTAATATTACAAGGCAGCTGAAAGGCATGGCAGAGTTTTACCAGAAAAGTGACATGATCTGATTTATGCTTTTAAAAGCTTACTTTGACCATCCGGCACCTATTCAGATGTCTACTATCAAAATAAATACATAAATACATAACAAGTGTTGGTGAGGATGTAGAGAAATTGGAACCCTTTTGTCCTGGTGGTGGGAATGTGAAATGGTGAAGTCTCTATGGATAACAGTATGGCGATTGCTCCAAAAATTAAAATATAATTTTTATGATCCCACAATTCCACTTTTATATATATATATCCAAAAGAATAGAAAGCAGGGACTCGAATAGATATCCGCACACTCATGGTCACAGCGACATCATTCACAGCAGCCAAAAGGCGAAGACAACCCAAGTGTCCGTCACAGAGGAGCGGATGAACGAATGCGGTCTGTGTGTGCAGTGGAACACTGTGAAGCCTTGAAAGGGAGGGATAACTCGGATGTGCTATTAATACTACATAGATGAAATTTGAGGACATTATGCTAAGTGAAATAAGCGAGTCACAAGAAAACAAATACTATATGATTCCACCTATGTGAGCTACTTTGAGTCATCAAACTCAGAGACACAGCAGATGGAACGGCGGTTGCAGAGGCTAAAGGGAGGGCAACGGGAGTCGCTGTTTCGTGGGTATGGAGCTCCAGCTTCGCGAAGAGAAAAAAGTTTGTGGATGGTTGTGATGGCAGCAAAACAATGTAAATGTACTCAATGCCACTGAACTGTGCACTTAAAAATGATTAAGAAGGTAAGTTATATGTAATGTGTATTTTGCCATAGTGAAAATTTAGAAAAAACAACTTACTCTGGGTGTGTTCTCGAGAAAAGTTTGCAAAAGGGCATACCTAGCTGGCTATCCAGTGGTATCTTCATTCTTCCTCTCAGTCCCCCATCTCCGCAGTCTCCTTCCTGGCAGCGTGGGAGGTCCAGGTCTCCAGCCCTCCCCGGTAGCCTTGTACTCCAGACGGGGAAAAGTCACAGGCCACAGTCACAAGTCACAGTTCTCCAGGACTGGGTCACACCGGCCTATGGCAGCCGCAGTGGTTCTTAGAAGGTGGCCTAGAACACCTGGGGGCTCTAAGACCATTTCTAGGGCTCTGTGAGTTTCTCTCTTTTCCAACTACATGTCTAGAACGAGGCTGGAATTAAAATAATAATAGTAATTATATATATACATATAAATAATATACTTCTACTAGCAGATTGCAATACATTAAATGCCAAAGCAAACATGAGAACCAGCTGTCTCACGTTAAGCCCAATTTTCAAGTGATTTGCAAAAATGTGCAGCAATGCTGCTGTTCTCATTACATGCTTTTGTTTTGGAATACGTAGCTGTTTTTCATGAAAGTACATTAAAAAGTAATGAGTTTATGGTTATTTTTAAATTTATAATAAAATTTTGAAATTTGAGTGCTAGATATAATCCATGTAAACAAAATCCCTTTGGGATTGTTTTTAAGAGTCTAAATGGTCTTGAGATGGAGAAGTTTGAGAACCACCAGCTTGCGGTGGTCCTGGTCCCTTGCGGGGAAGGGGTTTGGAAACGTCCATGCAATTCAGTTCTGTCCAGTGAGATGCACAGGGAATCTGCTGGAAAGGTGCTGGGGAAAGTTTTTTCACTCCTGAGAAAGCCGCAGGAAGAGAGATACTCTCTTGTCAGCCCCTGGATGTCAGTGCGTCTGGATGTGACGCTGGCACTTGCTTCAGCCAGAGAGAAGCAGCACCGATGACGGGCGGCAGTGTTGGGCCCAGATCTTACTGTTACAGGGGTTTGGTGGACATCTTCCTGCACAGTCGATCTTTGCACATTTGTGTATTTTGGTAGAATAAATTCTTAGAATTGGAAGTGCTATCTACACACATTTAAAATTTGGATAGATATTGATATTGGTAAGTTTCCATCAATATTTATTTAACAATCACTTGTATAAAGCTTGCTATGTGCTTACTAGACAATTTTTCTAAGCTTTTTACAAATATTAACTTACTAATAGTATATGCAGGCTGGGCACGGTGGCTCATGCCTGTAATCCTAGCACTCTGGGAGGCCGAGGTGGGCAGGATCATTCAAGGTCATGAGTTCGAAACCAGCCTGAGCAAGAGCGAGAGTCTGTCTCTACTATAAATAGAAAGAAATTAATTGGCCAACTAATATATATAGAAAAAAAATTAGCCAGGCATGGTGGTGCATGCCTGTAGTCCCAGCTACTCAGGAGGCTGAGGCAGGAGGATTGCTTGAGCCCAGGAGTTTGAGGTTGCTGTGAGTTAGGCTGACACCAAGGCACTCACTCTAGCCTGGGCAACAAAGCAAGATTCTGTCTCAAAAAAAAAAAAAAAAATAGTATATGTGTGTGCCTATTTCTCTATACCTTTGCTAATGTATTTTTTATCCCTGCTCATCTAATAAGCAGAAAATACTTTACTATTTCAAGTTGCTTTTCTTTGATAATTAATAAGGTCAAACATTTAAAAAGTATTATCTTTAAATGGTGTATTCATATCTTTGGTCCATTTTCCTTCCAGGTTTTCATCTTTTCTTATTTATTTCTAAGAGTTCCATGTATATTAAAGATATTAGCCCTCTGGTGTCATATGTGTGACAAGTAAAGTTCAATAATCACTTATTCACAATTCCAATATCTAAAAGGCTCTGAAAAAGTAAGCTTTTTGTAAAGTTGGTGCTAACTCATTTGATAAAAAAACATGACCTTGAGGAAGGAAATAGAGGACGTAAACAGGTGGAAGAATATACCATGCTCATGGGTTGGCAGAATCAACATTGTTAAAATGTCTATACTACCCAAAGTGATCTACAGATTCAATGCAATCACTATTAAAATACCATCATCATTTTTCACAGATATAGAAAAAATTATTTTATACTTCGTATGGAACCAGAGAAGACCCCATATAGCAAAAGCAATCCTAGGCAATAAAAACAAAATGGGAGGTATCAATTTACCAGACTTCAAACTATACTGCAAGGCTATAGTAATTAAAACAGCTTTGTATTGGCACAAGAACAGGTACATTTACCAATGGAACAGAACCGAGAACCCAGATATAAAACCATCCTCATACAGCCATCTAATCTTTGACAAAACAGACAGAAGCATACACTGGGGAAAAGAATCCTTATTCAATAAATAGTGCCAGGACAACTGGATAGCCACATGTAGAAGACTGAAACAGGATCCACGCCTTTCACCTCTCACAAAAATCAACTCATACTGGGTAACAAACTTAAACCTAAGGTGTGAAACTATTAGAATTCTAGAGGAAAACATTGGAAATACTCTTCTAGACATTGGCCTAGGCAAAGGATCTATGAAGAAGACCCCAAAGGCAATAACAGCAACAACAAAAATAAATAAATGGGACCTGATCAAATTAAAAAGCTTCTGCACAAAGAAACGGTTATGAGAGCAAACAACCTACAGAATGGGAGAAAATGTTCGCAAGCTACAGATCCAAAAAAGGGCTGATAACTAGAATCTATTTAGAACTTAGGAAAATCAGCAAGAAAAATTCAAACAACCCTATCAAAAAGTGGAAAAAGGACATGAACAGAAACTTTTCAAAAGAATAATAGCCAACAAACATGAAAAAATGTTCAACATCTCTAATCATCAGGGAAATGCAAATCAAAACCACAATAAGATATCACTTATCTCCAGTGAGAATGGCCTTTATTAAAAAGTCCCCAAACAATAAATGCTGGCGTGGTTGCGGAGAGAGACGAACACTCCTACACTGCTGGTGGGACTGCAAACTAGTGCAACCTCTGTGGAAAGCAATATGGAGGTACCTCAAAGAGATACAAGTAGATCTACCATTTGATCCAGCAATCCCATTACTGGGCATCTACCCAAAAGAACAAGACACTCTATAAAAAAGACATCTGCACTCAAATGTTTATAGCAGCACAATTCACAATTGCAAAGATGTGGAAACAACCCAAGTGCCCATCAATACACGAATGGATTAATAAACTGTGGTATATGTATACCATGGAGTACTATTCAGCTATAATAAACAACGGTGATCTAGCACCTCTTGTATTTTCCTGGATAGAGCTGGAACCCATTCTACTAAGTGAAGTATCTCAAGAATGGAAAAACAAGCACCACATGTACTCACCAGCAAATTGGTTTTAACTGATCAACACCTAAGTGGACATATAGAGATATCATAACATACAGCAATAACAGCTGTGTTGGGCAGATGGGAGGGAGGAAGAGGGGATGGGCATATACATACATAATGAGTGCAATGCGCACCATCTGGGGGATGGACATGCCTGAAGCTCTGACTCTGGGGGGAAGGGGGAAGGCAACACATGTAACCTAAACATTTGTACCCCAATAATATGCTGAAATAAAAAAAAATTTTTAAATCATAAAAAAATAAAACATGACCTCAACTGACATGAGGCTATTTTTTACCTTTGTATTATATATTCCACTTAATGTGAATAGCTCAGCACAGTGGCTCACACCTGTAATCCCAGCATTTTGGGAAGCCAAGGTGAGAGGATCGCTGAAGCCAGGAGTTTGAGATCAGCCTGAGCAACATAACAAAACCTTATCTGTACAAAAAATAAGAAAAATTAGCCAGGCATGGTGGCGCATGCCTGTAGTCCCAGCTACTTGGGAGGTTAAGTCAGGAGGATCACTTGAGCCCAGGAGTTGGAGGCTTCAGTGAGCTGTGATCACACGACTGTACTTCATTCTGGGCAACAGAGTGAGATCCTGTCTCAAAAAAAACAAAAACAACAACAACAACAAAAAAAAACCCAAAATAGAATAGCTGTACATTTTACTGAAGAAAAACTTATGTTTGTTCTAAGGTACTGGCCTAGACCTTGTGGTATTTTTTTTTTTTTTTTGAGACAGAGTCTTGCTTTGTTGCCAGGCTAGAGTGAGTGCCGTGGCGTCAGCCTAGCTCACAGAACCTCAACTCCTGGCTCAAGCATCCTCCTGCCTCAGCCTCCCGAGTAGCTGGGACTACAGGCATGCGCACCATGCCCGGCTATTTTTTCTATATATATTAGTTGGCCATTAATTTCTTTTATTTATAGTAGAGACGGGTCTCGCTCTTGCTCAGGCTGGTTTCGAACTCCTGACCTCGAGCATCCGCCGCCTCGGCCTCCCAGAGAGCTAGGATTACAGGCGTGAGCCACCGCGCCCGGCCGGCCTTGTGGTATTGCTTATATACTATGTATTACCTTCTCTAAATTCTGAAAATTCAAATTCCTTAACATTTGTCTCTAAGGGTTTCAGGTAAGAATTGTGGATTTCATTTACACACATAATTTTTGTCTGTTCTGCTTCACCTTGGGACATGTTGAGTTGTAAAAGGTGAAAGGCTGATGGGCTCCAACGAGAAACCAGAACATCACGCGGACTGTGAGAGCCGCGGAGCTTCCGCGAGGACGCAGCGCGCGCCCTGGGGTCTGGGGCCAGGAACGGCGAGGCTGGCTGGAGAAGCGGACTGGGTCATCAGCGCGGAGACGGAAGTTGTGAGCGGGGATGCCGGGGAGCGCGGACTGCCAGAAGAGCAACGGAGCACCGGAGTCTCGGGGAGAACGCGGAGTCCCGCAGGAAAGCGGGCTGCGTGCGGGGCAGAGGTGGCCCGGC